AATTAACCTTGTTCTTCATTTGTAGTTTTGAATTATTTTCCTCAGGAACAGCTGATGCTTCCTTGCTGGAGCCTACTGCTCTTTTTTCACTTGTGAGCAGGATATGCCATTACCATATCTGTGTAAGAATTTGCATGCCAAGATGAAAGTTACTTAACGTTTTTCATTTCATGTGCCAAGCTGATGACTGGCACCTCTGCTACATGACTAATTTTAAGGTTAATTTGTGTCAAGGTGCACTGCAGAGCGGAGTAAGAAATATACATTCATTACTGTGCTCTAATTTAAATCACATGGTAATCTTAAACCTGATGGACAGGTGGGGCAAAGGGAAGAATACAGTTGTCAAAACTCAGTCTGCATTTGAAAAGGACATTTTGAGCATGGGAAATATTATCTGTTGACAGCAGGCTGGGCTGTTTGTAATCATAGAATCACAGAATGGTCTGGATTGGAAGGGACCTTAAAGCTCATCCAGTTCCAGCCTCCTGCAGTGGGCAGGGACACCTTCCACTAGAGCAGGTTGCTCCAAGCCCCTGTGTCCAACCTGGCTGTGAACGCTGCCAGGGATGGGGCAGCCACAGCTTCTCTGGGCACCCTGTGCCAGCGCCTCAGCACCCTCACAGGGAAGGGCTTCTGCTAAGAGCTCATCTCAGTCTCCCCTCTGGCAGGTTAAAGCCATTCCCTGTTGTCCTATCTCTAAATGCCCCTGTAAAAAGACCCTCTCCAGATGTCTTGTAGTCTCCTTTCACCAAATCCTCATAAAGACCCAGATGGTGGAAAGGCGATTGCCTGTTCTCTCTTTGTTTTCAGTCCCTGATGGGTTTCTCAGATTTGAGTGAACTGAAAGGAAGAACATCTTCATGTGCATCCCAATGAGAGATAGGTCTGTATGTAATGGACTCAGTGTCCCAAGAACCTCCTTACCCAGCTGGTTCAGCAAATACTTCAGTCACTGCCGTGGCCTGACTTCACCTAAAATTGATAGGGTTTTGTTTTCTATTTCTTAAAATATTACAGCCACCATGTTCAGTGCCACCAATTCAGTTTTATTAAAAATCATCGCATTTTAAGCTATTAATATAGATCAAAAATAATAATTCAATGCTCTGCTTTTTCTGGGAAAAGGACATTTTGCATTTCTACCCTCCTTTCATTTGCATCAACGCTAGCTCAGTACAGCCGCAGTGAGCTGAGGGACTGAGTTTCTGATTCATCCTGTTGTGTGCAAGAATAAGGCAAAGTCAAAATGAACCTTTTTTTGTAAAGCTTTGGGGTATATGTATGGATACACATATCCATTTTTCACATTGAAGGGATTACACAACCAAGTTCATGCTTCAGGTAGTTCAGTTGATTTAACTGGAGAGGCTCCTATCCGAGTTACAGATCTGATTTCTTGTTGGCTTCAATGTCATGGCAGAGTGTGGAGCTCTCTGGGAATGCACAGGATGGGATTTTCCAGTGCTGATGGATGCATCCACGTGCGTTCAGTGTGAGTCTCAGCAAGGTCACATTACTGAGCTGCTCTGCCACCTCCTTTCATATTATCTGAGGGGGAGAAGCCGTAGATCATAGCTGCCTCCCTCCCTCGACACTCCCCGTGGTACAGTGCCTCTTGTCTCTCCTCAGCCCATTTTGACAGTTCATTGGGACAGCTTCCTCCAAATCACACCTGAGACTAAGGACAGAACAGCAAAGGCTTGATTTCTTTTTTTAACCCTGCCAGAAGCCATGTGTGCCATGCCAAGATGTGATGTGCAACACCTCATGTTACAGACACATGTCATTTATTCATGCTGACTCAGAGCAGGGAAACCTGCACCACCTCGTCCCACGTTATTTCTCATTTGAGGCACCAGGGAAAAGCTTCAGCTCTGTGGTGAGATCTTTTTGCTCAGGTTAAAGTTTTAGCCTGGACTGGGGGTTTGGGGAGCTGGTTTGCTTGTTTGTTTCCAGAAGCGTGAACATCTTTCAGTGGCCACAGACCTCAAATACTGCTTCTGGCCACAAATCCTACTGCAAACCAATAACAACAGAGCGACTTCAGCCCTGGGACCACTTTGGGAGGCCCTATCAGTCTGCATCTGAATTCCACATTGAGGGGTTGGAATTATGGTCCAGAGGTTCTGAACAGCTTTATGCTGTATTTTTGACTGTGTCTGTCCCTGCTCAGCCCCCTTCCAGCAAGGAGAGTGCTCAGCTTCTCATACTGGTGCTGCCCACCACCACCACGTCTGGGTTTGGAGACTGAAGCAGGCACTTTGCTGTCCCAGCCAACACTAAACACTGGGTGCTGTCTGACCAAAGGGAGGTGATCTCATCTCCCAGCGTTAGGTAGAGCAAGGATTAAGGGGAAAATGAAGAAGGTATAAGCAAACATTATGAGTAATGGGAAAGTACATTTCATAGAATCACAGAATGGTTCGGGTTGGAAGGAGCCTTAAAGCTCATCTAGTTCCAACCCCCTGCCATGGGCAGGGACACCTTCCACTAGAGCAGGTTGCTCCAAGCCCTGTCCAACCTGGCTGTGAACACTGCCGGGGATGGGGCAGTCACAGCTTCTCTGGACACCCTGTGCCAGCGCCTCAGCATCCTCAAAGCGAACAATTTCTTTCTTGTATCTAACCTGAGTCTATCGTCTTTCAGCTTAAAGCCATTCCCTGTTGTCCTATCTCTAAATACCCTTGTAAAAAGTCCCTCTCCAGATTTCCTAGTCTCCTTTCACCAAATCCTCACAAAGACCCATTCGGGGGGAAAAGCAATTGCCTGTTCTCTCTTTGTTTTCAGTCCCTGATGGGTTTCTCAGATTTGAGTGAACTGAAGGGAAGAACATCTTCCTGTGCATCCCAAGGAGAAATGGGACTGTATGTAATGGACTTAGAACTGTATCAACCCATCCAGCTTCAAGTTTTTTCTTCCTGGGGATCTTCACCTGCAGGTGCCCCCAAACAGCTCTTCGCTGTCCATGCTCCATGTTTCCTGGTAGGGGTGATTTATGGTCATCCATCAGCACACACACTGCCACCTCCCTCCTGATTTCGCTGTGGAAGGGCCAATATGTACCTTTATCATACGGTTGTCTGTATAAAATACATATATAATGACTGTGGTCCAAGTGCAGAAGGAAGTGGGTGGATGGATGGGTGTATATATGGGTGAGTATATGGGGGGGCTGGTTGCTGAGTTGGGATGTGGATAGGAGAGTGGATTGGTGCATGGGTGGGTGATGTGTTGAGAAATGGGTGCATAAATTGGGGTGCTTGTGGCTGGATATATGGGAGATGGGTTGGTGCAAGCATGGGTGGGCAGTATGTGGCTGCAGGAGTGCAGGGTTGGTGCACAAGCTGGTGCATGCATTTGGGTTAGTACACGCATTTGTGCATGGGTGGGTTGGTGCATGCATGGATAGATGGATTGGTGTGTGCATGGATGGGTAGGATTGGCACCTGCATAGGTGAGGGCACAAGCTGGAGTGTGTGTGCATTGGTTGTTGCATGAATGGATGGATGGATTGGTTTGCGCATGGGTGGATGGATTGATGCAAGCATGGGTGAGTGCACAAGTTGGCTCATTTGTGGGTGGCTGCATGGATGGATGGGTGGGTGCACACAGGGTTGGGTGGGTTGGTGCATGGTTGGGTGTGTTGGTTGATGCATGGATGGATGGATTGGCTGGTGCATGGATGGATGGGTGGGTTGGTGCACACAGGGTTGGATGTGTTGGCTGGTGCATGGATAGATGGATTGGCTGGTGCATGGATGAATGGATTGGCTGGTGCATGGATGGATGGATTGGCTAGTGCACGGATGGATGGATTGGCTGGTGCACGGATGGATGGATTGGCTGGTGCACGGATGGATGGATGGATTGGCTGGTGCACGGATGGATGGATGGATTGGCTGGTGCATGGATGGATGGAATGGCTGGTGCATGGATAGATGGATTGGCTGGTGCATGGATGTATGGGTGGCTTGATGCACACAGGGTTGGATGTGTTGGCTGGTGCATGGATGAATGGATTGGCTGGTGCATGGATGGATGGGTGGGTTGGTGCACACAGGGTTGGGCATGTTGGTTGGTGCATGGATGGATGGATTGGGTGGTGCACTAATGGATAGATGGGTTGATGTGCAAATGGGTGGATGGATGGGTTGGTGCATGCAGGTTTGGGTGTGTTGGTTGGTGCATGGATGGCTGGATTGGCTGGTGCATGGATGGATTGGTTGGTGCATGGATGGCTGGATTGGCTGGTGCATGGATGGATGGATGGGTTGGTGCACACCGGGTTGGGTGTGTTGGCTGGGGCATGGATGGATGGATGGGTTGGTGCATCCAGGGTTGGGTGTGTTGGTTGGTGCATGGATGGATGGATGGGTTGGTGCACACCGGGTTGGGTGTGTTGGCTGGGGCATGGATGGCTGGATTGGCTGGTGTATGGATGGATGGATGGGTTGGTGCACGCAGGGTTGGGTGTGTTGGTTGGTGCATGGATGGCTGGATTGGCTGGTGCATGGATGGATGGATGGATGGGTTGGTGCACACCGGGTTGGGTGTGTTGGTTGGTGCATGGATGGCTGGATTGGCTGGTGGATGGATGGATGGATGGATGGATGGATGGATGGATGGATGGATGGATGGATGGGTTGGTGCACACCGGGTTGGGTGTGTTGGTTGATGCATGGATGGCTGGATTGGCTGGTGGGTGGATGGATGGATGGATGGGTTGGTGCATCCAGGGTTGGGTGTGTTGGCTGGGGCATGGATGGATGGATGGGTGTGTTGGTGGCCGCAGCGGTGTGTGTGTGTGTGTGTCACCGCTGCCCGGTCGTAGGCCCCCCCCCCCCAGATGTTAGGGCAGATGTTGGGGGGGGGGAGCTCGCGACCCCGCAGCGCTCGCTCCGCGCGCGCAGGCACGCGCTGGGCGGGGCGCTGTTCCCGCGCAGGGGGCGGAGCCTCGCCCCGCCCCGGGCTCAGCGCGCGCGGGGGGCGGGCGACGGCGGCACCTGCGGGTCGGGACGGGCCGTGCCGCGCGGAGCCGAGCGGAGCCGAGCGGCGGCCGCGGCCCGGATGTAGCCGGCGCGGGAACATGGCGCTGGGGGCGGCGTGACGGCGGCGGCCGAGGTAGGGGCGGCGGGGCCGGGATCCGCGCAAGGGGGAGGCTCGACCTTGCGGGGCCGCGGTGCTGGCAGCCGGTGCTTGGAGACAAAGGCGCGTCCCGGGCATCCCCTCGCCCACCTGAGCGGGGCGGGCCGAGGCGCGGAGGGCTGGCGCCGGGCGAGCGGGGCTGCCCGAGGGTCGGCGGCGCTGGCTGCGCCTTGAGCACCTCGGCGGGGCTGTTGGCCGCAACAATGGCTTTTGTTGTAAGAGAGGCGTTTTGGTTTGTGCCCGTGTATTGCCTGAAGTTGCTCCCAACTTTCCGTGCATGCCGTGTGCCGCTGGGTCTCGCCCGAGCGCTCCACACGCACCCGTGTACCTCTGACCGCTGGTGGGTTTGCGTGTAGAGGGTTAGAAACGCCTGCGGTCGGCTCCGTTCGTGTGTCTGTGTGCGTTAAGCCTCAGAGCATCGTAGCTGGATAAACCGAGCTGCAGAGGGACTGCCGTGCTGGAATACCGCTCCAGCACCAGCCCAGGTCTGGGTATCGATCAGACCTAGAGGATTTCTTACAGCGCGCAGGCTGCCCGCCTCCCCCTTTGTTACACACCAGCCCTCTGTTAGCGTAAAGAAACAATAGGCATTTTTATTTCTTCCCCAATAGTCAGTGTCAGACCGAATGTGCTGTCATTGCCCTTAGGATACAATTCCCACCAACTCGAGAGGGGCCAGCAGCGAGACCACCCCGCTGGCAGCATTTCCCTTCATTGTAGGATTTGCTTTCATACGCTTTAGCATCTGCAAAATGAAGGCAGAGAGTTGGTACCTGTGGTGGGATAGGGCTGTGTGGTCCTTGCTGCACACACAGCACTTAGGGAATCATCGCTCCGGATTTATTGCCCTTATTGTGCCGGGAAACTTTAAATACCACTGCTGAGGACTGGAGTAGGAGCCACGCTCCTCTGCCCTGTGCTGAAGGTGTTGGTACAGTGCTGTGAGCATTGTACATCTCTTGTTGTGTGCAGAATGCATTGGAGCTCTGGTGAGCCACTCTGGATGTCTGCTGAGGGTGATGCTTCTGACACAGAGAGTGGGTTCGGTGTTACCTGTGGGGCTTCCTGGCTGTCTGCACCCCCATAGTCGGCTTGAGCAGAAGCTGTGGAAGCTTTTCTGTTTCCATTTGAGGTTCACAAAATGGCCCTTTGCATTTCTGCTTTCTTCCTGCTGAAGTGTTGCTGCACGGTGGTTACTGACTCGTCGATTCCCCCTATGGTGAGCAGATGCTCGCCTGTTTGTAGGTGGGGATGGAGGGACCTGTGGGGCAGAGCACTGGTGTCAGAGGTGCTGCTGCTGCAGCAGCAGGTACAGCTTCGGGAGTTACTCACTGTGGTTTGCCTTACTGGCTGTGGGCTAGTCAGGGTTTTGTTTGTAGCTCCTCTTAGGTTGATGGAAGGTCTTTGTTCAGTGTGTGATTATGGTTTTGTGCTGTGATTTGGGATGAACTGAGTGAAAACATGGCTTGAATCAAGGGAAAGACTTGCTTTCATGTTGAGCGTGCTGAAGCTGGACTTTCTGCTCCTTCAAATGTGTTCATAAATGGGTTTGATCCAGGTGAAACTGCTCCTTCAAGCAGAGATTAATTTCATCAGGAGGTGTTAGACCAGTCTGCCCTAGTCCTGCCTTCCCTTGGTGCAGAAGCTCCAAGTGCTGTTACTCACTTTTGCAGTCTTTTAACCTTATTCTATGGAAATGAGGGATTACCAGTGACTGTGTGTTGCTCAGCTGAGGCAGCTGTTCATCCTCTTAATAGCGGGGCTCAGAGTGGTCGTTTCTGCACAGAGAAGTGATGTTGTGAAGAACCCCCCTTACAAGTCATCAGTGAATCCCCTTGGCAACACGCTCACAGAGCCAGACCCAGTAAATCCCATGGCTCATTCCATGCCCTTGTTACTTTGGCCACCCCTGTTTGCTTCTCAAGGGCTTTATTTTCCCTCTTCCCTGAACATCTTCATCAATCACAGATACTCACAGTAGGTCAATATCTGACTTTCAGTGAAGTCTGAGCACCCCAATGGCTGATTCTAAAACGGAATTGCATAATGAGCAAGGTTCTTGGAAGGCGTTTTATTTCCCAACTGCTATTTGCCAAAGTAACAGTTATTTGGGCACCTAATTACTTGGAAAAATTATAATTAAGAAATAAAATGACCCCAGATTTGCTGCTGAAATAAAGGGGGCAAACTGTTCTCTTTGACGTTAGTTGGGGCATGGAGTTTGGGTTTAAAACTGAGTTGAAGGAGACTCCAGCTCACGTGGCTGAAGCCCAGGAGGTGATGCTGGCACAGATCTGTCAGGGTGCTGCACTCCGTCGGGGAGGTATGGAAAACAAAAGAGGAACAGGAGCGGAAGAACGCCTGCATCTCTGCTCCTCCTGTCTGATCACACTCGACACTTAAATCCAGTTATTGCTTTGAAGCTGCTCCAGTTAAGGATCTGAAGTGTTTGGCATCCTCTTGTTCCAATACATAAACTCGCTCCGGTCCTACCGGTTTGCTCTGCAGAAGCTACAAACAGAAGTGTACCGCATGGCACGCGTTGGAGCTGCTAACAGGTGTCTGTGGGTAAAGCAGCTGAGCTGTGCATCAAATATGCATAAAGCTCAAACAACAACCTGCTGGTAAAACACCTCCTCAGGATCCCTGCTCCTGGTGTCAGTGTTTGTGGCTCCCGGTGCTCTTTGACACCACTGGAGTGGTGCTGGAGGTGTTTCTGGGGCTGTTTGCTTTGCTTCTCGCTGATCTCAGTGGAGTTGGTCTGTGGGGTCTGCTGTGGCGTTGGGCCAGGTTTCCCAAGGTGAAACCAAGTGAACCTTCTGTCATTATGGGAAGGGATGGGTGGTGACTGCAGATGGGTAAACCCAGAAACACCAAGATGGAAACTGCATGTGGTTTATTATGGAATCCCAGAATGGTTTGGGTTGGAAGGAGCCTTAAAGCTCATCCAGTTCCAACCCCTGCCACGGGCAGGGACACCTTCGCTAGAACACGTTGCTACAAGCCCCTGTGTCCAACCTGGCCTTGAACACTGCCAGGGATGGGGCAGCCACAGCTTCTCTGGGCACCCTGTGCCAGCGCCTCAGCACCCTCACAATAAAGAACTTCTTCCTCATACCTAATCTCATGTCAGTTTAAAGCCCTTCCCCCTTGTCCTGTTGCTGCATGTCCTTTCATCCTTCACACCTGGAGGACATACGCTTTTTACCATTTTCCAATTATACTCTTATGATTTTCCATCAATTCTAATCTATTGAACATTTCCATACAATCTTGCTATTCTCAACTGCAGTTTGAAGTATGAAAGGTGTTTTTACACAACTGTCTGCTCGAAAGCCATGTCATGACCAACAGAGCCTCCGTCCAACCTTGCACCTTCTCCAGTGTCTGATACGGGTTTGTCCCTTCCTCAGTAGGAGCTTCGTAAGGTACCTGCCTTCTCTGTAAATACAAAGGTTGATATTTTGAGATGATTTCCCCCATTAAATCCAGCTTTGGTTAGTGTTGAGCTGCACCAGGGTGCTGCCTGATGCACAACTGCGCTGGCTTCATTAGCAGGGGAAAAGAGCTGAAAACTGGAATGTCTCAAAAACGCCAACGACAGTGCAAAAACCCCAGTTAGTTATGAGGCCATCTAACAGGCAACTCCCCCCCCCCCTGCAGAGCAAGTTTCAACGCTCGCTAATGATATTTAATGTTCAGGTAACTCTAATTAAGCCTTTAATCCATCAGGCCACAGAGATTCACTGGAGATGTGCTGTTAGTGCTGGTGTGTCAGCTGCCTGTACCAAGCGCAGCAGTGCTCAGTGTTGTGCTCGGAGGGCTGGCCCCACAACCGACACAACAGAGTATTTTCTATCTAAATGAATGTTTAACTGCTTTTTCCTTTCTTTTCCTGAGAGAAGCATCTCCAAGGGCAGGACTGCTGTTGGGGCTTCAGGGCTGAGACCTGCTGTAGAGTGTGGTTCTTGCGTGGTTCAGCCATGCCTGTTGAGAGCAGCCCCAGCACAGAAGTCAGTGTTGAGCCGTGTCTTGTGCCTTAAAGGTTCAAGGAGTATCCCTTTCCAAGCAGTGCCTGTGAGAGCAGTGATGGGAGAGGCACGTGCTCCCATTGCATCCTGCAGAGCCAGCCATGACATACCAAGTCTGCTGGTTTGCCTCTTTCCCAACTATTTTTTCCTTTTCCTGAGCCGCGTACAAGTGCTGCCACTTGTGGAAGGAGCATCTGGTGGATGTACAAAGGTTTCATTGCAGACAGAGCTTGGATGTCTTAAAATCAAGCCAGTGAAACAAAACTCTGTGAATCAAGTTGTTAACTTCTGCAGGCTGGGCTGTAGCTTCCTATTTCTGACCTTTCTAAGCAGCACTTTTATTAAAACATGAGCTGTATATACAAATTAATGTTTATGTCTTGCAGACCACCTAACTTATGGTCCTTGTGGGCTGTAAGGACATGTAGTGAGCCCTGTTTTCACCCTGCCACAAGGTGCACTCTGTGCATTGCAGTGTGCTGGTATTAGGATAGCCAAAGCATGGAGAAGAGTGGCGTGACTCACCCAGGGGCATGCAGTGATGGAGAGCACAAGTGAAACCGCAGCTCCCATCGTTTTCCTTGTGGGCTGTCCTGTCTTCGCTCTGTTGTGGCTCTGCTGTGGATCTCGCCGGTGGCATGTGTCACTGCCTGCAGCAGGACACGCTGCTCCGGTGTCACAGGGGTGAGGGGTTTGATTTTGCTGAACAAAGATGCTTGTCCAGAAATAGGTTAAGCCAAGGAACGTGGGTGCCAAAAATAGCGATAGAGATTTTCCTTTCTCCAAGTGTGTGTTAGATGTATTGTTCCCTGCTGGAGGCAGCTGGAAGAGTAGGAGAGGTACTGCAGCTATACGGAATAGTGGAAGGAGGCATGCATGGTCACCTCTTATGGAGGAAAACCCTGTGTTAGATATCACTGTTACTTTGCATTACTGTGTGTTTCT